TTATCAAAAGTCGCTAAAAAATGCAAACTTTGTCACAATAACGTAAAAGATATCTCTCACAAAGAACGCGATTTTTGCGAACACACACAAAAGTACGAAAAGGAGTTAAACATAATTTGTGTTTTGTTTCATCTTTTTTTTCTCTTCGGATTTTTGGATTGACTTCTGCTCTAATTTGTGTGATGAACCTGCCGTCCAATTTTACCGCGACCCTCAGAAATACATCGCAACATAGTGTGTTTTCACATCATCGTTCTGCGAATCCACTAAAGGCAAAAATACTTCCAAACAAAGCGACAACGCACTTTTCCAATTGACCATCAATTTTTTTTATTTTTTAATCAGTTTATTTTTTATTAGTTTGATTTTTATTTTAAAAACTAACAAATACTATTTTTATTATTTAACAAATAAAAAACTTGAACAAAGAACGTGTTATAAATACTCAACAGCACCATTACATGAAATCCACAAATGGGTGGAAAACTGATTTTTAACTCAAGTTTACATTTTCAAAAATTTGATATTTTTCATTGACTGTTCTTACTACAAATTGCAATGTAATTAATACTGATTTTGTTAAAACATGATAAGTTTAATAAGTGGTGTTAACAAGTCCGTTTGATGATTTGGAAAATAAAACAAAACAACAACGGTTTAATAAGACGTTGTGAATCAACGACAAATCATTTTAACACGTAAAAGCTTTGTTTTTATGTTTAATTTTTCTGCACTTGGTAAATAATTGATTATTTTGATGATTTATTAATATAGTTTGTTTTACCATATTTATAATATTAAAAAATAAGTGGTCAATTCCCGAAAAATTAAAAGAGTATTTGAATACACTTTTAACAGGTAGTGTTTTTTTAAGTGTTAAGGAACTAAACTTGAATAAAACGATAATTAGTAAAAATTAACTATCGTTCGTATTGAAAAATCATCACAATTTATTATTAAGATTAGTAAAAACAATTATATTTATAGTATATTGCTTATTAATAAAATACTATTAAGAAGCGCAAGAATAACGTACAACTGAAATAAATAAATAAATAAATAAATATATGCGTTAGACAAACATATATATGTAGATAGATTTTCAATTATTTTTCGTGTTTATTTTTCTTTTTTTCCAAATAAACCATAAATATTTTGAACACCACTTGGTATCTTTAATTTCGTGCAGTTCAAGAAACAATTATATCCGATATGGGTCACTTCATCGGGCATTTCGACGTGTTGTAAATTAATACATTCTTCAAAACATCTATCTCCAATACTTTTAAGTGAGTTACTAAATATAATAGAACTCAACTTTTCACACTTTTGAAAAGCAAAAGGACCGACAATTACCACTCCATTTATACCCTCCACTTTTTCCAAATTAACACAAGAAGCAAAACATTGTGATTCAATCATTGTTAAACTTTTTGGGAAGTGTACAACACTCAAATTACTGCAGTTTTCAAAACATGAGACTTGAAGTTTCTTTATGTATTTTGGCAGTTCAATACTTTCAAGAGTTAAACAACAATAAAAACTTTGCACCCCAAATGACTCGGCTGTGTATGGAAAAGTAATTTCAGAGAGAGACGTACATCGTAGAAAACTATCATCTGAAATATCAATGACACCCTCGGGTATATCAATACATTTTAAAGATCTACAATCAATGAAACACGACTTTTGAATACTTTTTATTGACTTAGTCCCATACGCAAACTCAAATTCAGTCAAGGAAAAACAATTTTTGAAAGTTTCTCTATTTAACGTGGTGAGTGATTTTGACATCACGACTTTTTGGAGTTGTGTACACTCGGCAAAGGCCTGCCAACCAATTTCAGTCACAGAGTCTGGAATTTCTATTGTATTCAATGAGATACACCTATTGAAACAATTTTCTTTAATATTCTTCAGACCATATTCTAACACTATTTTTGAAAGAGATGTACAATCGGAAAAACATCCACTTCTGAGTGACTCGACACTCTTGGGAATATCAAGTTCTAATAATTTTTCACAGCCTGAAAAAGCCTCACAACTTATTTCAGAGAGACGACTTGGCAATTTAATACAACTTAAGTTTTTACAATCTTCGAAAACTTTATAATTGATATTTAATAGAAGGTTTGGGAATGACAATGTCTTAATGTTCCAACACAATCCAAAAGCGTTATAGTTTATGTGTTTTAAATGTCTTGGGAACTTTACGGAGGTGAGAGAATTACACCCATAAAAACATGATGACCCAATAGAGGTGAGTCGACTTGGGAAGACCACCTCGACTAACGATTGACATTGAGCAAATGAATTATCACATATTCGTCTCAGTGACAATGGAAATATAAAAGACGTGAGAGAAGTACATAGAAAGAATGATCCGTTACCAATACAAGTGACTGTTGTTGGTATATTTATGGATTTCATTTCTTGTTCATTCGAAAAGCACTTTTCATCGATTTTGGTGACCAAATCGGACAAATGACTGTTGAATACAATTTTGTCTTTTTGTGTGTACACAACATTTTTGAAAATAATAGAGTGCATTCGAACACGAGTATTTTTAATTGATTGGAATTTGTTTTCGGAATACATGTCAAGTGTGTTCATAGCAGTTTTGTAGTCAACCTCTTCGTAGACAATAATGCGGTAAAACTCCCTGTAAAAGTATGATGTCAAGTGTTTAAAAGCCAAAAAATTGTTTTCTGGCCATAGAATTAAAGTCTCTAAATTTTCGAAAAAAATCAGTTTACTTCGAGTAAGAGTAATTGGGTTGTAATGAAACTTAGACATAGTTGAAGCATATTTTATATACCAATTCTAGAGATATGAAGTCTTGGAAAGAAGAAAAGTATTTCGAAACTATCATAATGTGAAAGCCATCTAAAAGGTTCATATGTTAATATTTTTTGAATATAAAGTTGTTTTTATATTATTTTGAGTTTTTCAGTTTGAATTTTGAACGAACAATCAAAACAACTAAAATGACACTATTTTTGTTCACACATTAGATTTATTTTTGTTTTTTTATATCTTTAAAAAAATAACCAAAATCAAATTTTTGTTCAACAAAAAACAAAAAATAGAAAGTAGTATATCAAATAGTTAAATATACATATATATAAACCATATTTATTACGTATTTATATTCAATCATAATACAGGTTAGTACTAAACCCCTATAGTTTTCTAAACCCCTCAAGTCATCAATTTAATGTTTGAGATTCAAGTATTTTTCAATGTTTCTATTGGAATATTGACAAGAATTTTGTTATTGGGAATATGGTTGGTGTTGGCTTAGAGATATTGTCGATAGAGAATCTGAACAAAGTCGATGTGTATATTTGGATCAGCAAGTTTTCAATATTGATTATACTCAGACGTACAAATTCAGAATGAACGACTTCCTGATCATCAAAAACACAACAATTAATTGAATGATCAGTTATTATGTGGAACCACTTCATCTGACGTGTGTACTAGCGTTCAGAAAGGGACATTTCACTAAATTCCTTTCAAACCTTTAATTTTTTCGTGTTTTATCATTAAAAAATAAAATAATATAAACGAAAGTTCACTGAACGTTTTTAAGAAATAATGGACAATATTTTGGAATCCAAAACAAATGAAGAACTCCATAAAAATATGTTATGGTCTGAAACAACAAAAAAGGTTGTAAAGTTGTATAAAGTTTGAATGGAAAAATACAATTGTTTTCAAATTAATCAGTAAAATATTTCATTCAATACAATTGTTTAATTAAAAATTATATAATATGATTGATAATAAACAAAGTAAATGAATTATATTATGTATATCACACAATCAGTAATAATAAATGTATTTTTTTAAAAAAATGTTTAAATAATAAAGACACTTTTTGTATTTGTTTATAAGTTATATTTAATTATGTTTGTTATATAACCAAAATTCTATGTTATAAAAAATCAGTCAAATGAGAGTATAACTACATGTGAACAAAACCAAACAAAATTTAAATAAAAAGAATTAAAATTATTTTAGTAATTTTGTTATATTAATTAAAACTATGATAATTACAAAAAAACATAAAAAGATTCTATTCAAAACAATTAATAATATAAATAATTTTAAACTATTAATTTATCAACATTACAGACAATTATAATTATAATTATAATTATAATTAATAATTAATAATTAAAAAACCAATTTAAATTGAATAAAAATGTAATAATCAATGTAATTCAAAATATACTATTTTTAAACCCCTTTTTATTTTCTTATTTAATCAATAATTTAATTAACATTTAAACGAACAAAAAATCATAATTTCTATATTAAATTTTATAAACCAAAAAATACAATTAACTGAAAAAGTGGGATGCTGAGAAAAAGGGATGCTAATCTAAATATACATTAATTTAATATTATTAATAATAAATAATTAATATAAATTTATTTCGGTTTTTTCATTTTATTATTTTTTTGATTAATAATTTATATTAAAATAAACAGTATTTTTATTATTTTTCAATTAAAATTAACCAATAGTTACGAGCATCCTCCTTTTTAGCATCCCCATATTTCCTCCTACTGTATATTATTTTATCAGATATAACAATAATATCTGATTTTTTTTGTATAGAGTTTTCAATAATCAATACCAACAAACAAACTAAATACATTGTTTGTTTTATTAATAATATATTATATTAAAAGTTACACACAAAAATGTGCCAACAAACAACATTTTATTGTTTTGAAACTACACACTTTAAATTTTATTATTTATTAATATTTTATTGTCTCAAAAATGCAGAATACAATCGAAAATAAAAAATAAAGATAGAAAAATTGATATATTTATTAAAAACCTATAGAAAAAAAAACACAAAAAGAAATAAAAATTAATTTGACATTTTTGAGAATCAAAAAGCTAAAACAAAAAACACAACACAATCATCAAACCCGAAAAATATGAAAATAAAAAAGAACTTTAAATTTTACAATAAACAATGACTCTTCTAATAGTTGTATGTATTGTTGCTGCCTTTGCTTGTAACGAAGGTGAGTACTTTGACCAGACCACCGCAACGTGTAAAGCGTGTGAGAACAACTGCAAGACTTGTTCCACGCAAACTCTTTGTCTTACATGTGTTGATAGTGGAAATGTAAATCAGCCGTATGTGTTGGACCAAACATACCAATGTGTCCTTCGCCCGCAAATAACAAATTGCATATCCTACACGGGAGTGTTGTGTACTCAATGTGACAAGTACTATTATTTGAATAACCAAGTCTGTACGCAGTGTGATGCAGACAAAAAATGCACGTACTGCAATTCGCAGGAATGCTTCCAATGTTCTTACGGATACACTTTAGTCAAGAACGGGAAAGAGTGTGTTGACTGTTCACAGGCCGTAAACGATGCCGATTGTGGTCGATGTCCTGCAGACAGATACTTTGACATCTCGACGTTATCTTGTATGCCGTGTAAAGACTTTTGCGATCATTGTACGTCCGCCACAAACTGTTATTCGTGCTCTACTGGGTATGCTCTTGCTGATTCGAATAACACTGAGTCGAATTGTGTTCGCATTGAAAATTGTGCGGATGGCTTTACATATGGAGACCACTGCGAGAGGTGTAATCCAAGTTACTTCCTGAAGGATGGGAAGTGTGCGAAATGTGGTAATGACTGTATCGCGTGTATTGACGACTCTATTTGCACTGAATGTATTAACTCAAAGAAATTGGCAAATGGGAAGTGCATTGATACAATCGAACACTGTTTGAGTGCGGATAATATCAATGGATGTACTGCATGCGAGTCTGGGTATTACATTGGACAAGGCTCTGTATGTGTGAAATGCGGAGTAACTTGTTCGACGTGTGTGAGCGAAAGTTATTGCTTTAGATGTGCGGCAAATTACTACTTTGGGACTAAAGAAGGCGAGTGCTTACCAAAGAAAGAAGACTGCGAAGCGACAGATCAATATGGGTGCATGTCGTGTAAAACAAACATAAAAAATGACGCACAATGCGAAATAGATAAAGTCGTTGATACAACTGGGTCGATTAACTGCACTACACAAACGTATGGATATTACTTGGAAGCGACAGTACAAGCGGATGGGACTGTGAAATATGCACAACAATGCCAACAATGTAATTTGAATTGCAAAACATGTGCGTATAACAAGGATTGGTGCACATCGTGTAATGACGGATATACATTAGCAGAGAATGTTGGTCAAAGAGAACTTTACCGAATGACTACTAAGGAAATTGGGAATGTCTACAATTGTTTAGTGAAGCCGGCTTCTTGTAAAACTGCGGGTTTGTTTTATATATAAAGCACACAAATTTATCACCATAATAAAGAAGATTTATTTTATAATAACTATAGACAACACAAATTAATGTGTTTTTATTAAATAAAAATGTAATTAATATATATATTAATATATATAGTTTTTATATTTAATTTTATTATTTGTAATAAAAAGAATAATAATATAAAAAAAGATTGTATATTTTTATTTAGAATTTGATAATAAAATTTGTTAAAATTCTTTTAAATTTTTAATGATGTCGATTTACTTCAACAATTCGTTCAAATAAAATAATTAAAAAATATTTTTAAAAAATTTAAAATTAATCAAAGAATAGAAAAAATGACAATCATTTTATCTTGTTCAATACAATTTATATATATTATAAATACACTTTAACATTTTTATTTATTTTAATTAATTTTTTTCTAAACAATAGAGATGGGATATTGTACAGAATGTGTAGAGGGATATTTCTTGTCTGATGTCTCATGTGTGTTGTGTGACGAATCGTGTGGGTCTTGCACGTCCGATTTATTCTGTCAAACGTGTTCTGCTAAAAAGGATGCAAATGGGAAAGCTCTTTATTGGCGTCCATCTGAACTTTCTGCTCTAGAAAATGAGGCCAAAGGGTTATGCATGAAGTTAAGTGAAACTTCGGTTCAATATGGACTGGACAAATGCACACACGACCCGACAAATCTTGGGTGTACCTCATGTAACGACACGTATTACTTACACAACAATTACTGCAAGCAGTGTCCTCTCGATCTTTGTAGTAAATGTAAAGAGAGTGCAGTTGAAGGGACGAATGAAACAAAAGTCATTTGTTTAGGGTGTTCCAACAACACTTATTTAGTCGCTTCAGAAAACAGATGTGTAGCGTGTGACTCAATTGAGAAATGTTCTACTTGTGAAACTGATGGTTGTCATGAGTGCACTGATGACTACAAACCCACTCCAGATAGAAAGAAGTGTACTAAAGTGAATGTCGCATTGATAGTTCCTCTCTCTATAGCCGGATTAGTCATTGTTGTGGTGGTCGTGGTCCTCATTTTGTTCTTAATTTGGAGACGTCGTCTTGCTGTCGAAAAAGAGCGCAAGAAGAGTTTCAGACCGACGAAAGTCTCCTCTGAACTTGAGATGCTTTTGGCCTCATCGGACAACGTCAATTTCCCATTGAAAGCCATTATGGACTTACAAGTGGAAAAAGACAAAGACGGAAAAATTAAGAAGGCGGCGCCCCAGAAATGGGACTTTGATTTTGGTTTGAAGGGAGAGAAACCAAAAGTGGACGAAGAAATTACACAGACGATTAAAATAGTGAATCCAACAAAAGTCACATACTACTTTGAATTTACCACGCCTGTCTCGCATCAATACGAAATCACGTTTGCTCCAAAACAAGCGACTTTGAAGCCACAATTTGGTGTTGATGTTAAAATCACATTTAAAGCACTTTGCACGACGAATATCGAAGACAACATTGCTATTTGTGCTAACACTATAGAAGACACTAATAAGGAAATTGCTAAATTCTCATTGCGAATTGAGTCGGACATCTCACTCAAATTGGACTATAACGAACTGAAAGCAAATGGGGGACCGATTGGTGAAGGTGCGTTTGGCCAAGTATTCAGAGGGAATTACAGAGGGATGGATGTTGCGATTAAGAAGATGAAAGAGCCGAAGATGACGGATGTGCAGAAGTATGAATTTGATCACGAAATTACTATGTTGAAATTACTGAGACATGAAACTACAGTGAATTACATTGGTGCTGTATACACAATGGGGGAGTACGCTATTGTCACTGAATTCATACCTTTTGGCGCATTAAGTAAACTCCACCAGAAAGAGAATTTCCCACTTGAATTAAAAGAGAAGATTATGGACGATGTTGCGGCTGCTATTTATTACTTGCACTCCCTCGAAGTCTTGCATAGAGACGTGAAAGGAGAGAACGTCCTGATAAGTGCGATTGACGAGAATAAGACCGTCTGTGGGAAATTAACAGACTTCGGGACATGCAGACTCATCACGGAACAAAAACTGAAGGAAAAACCACTGACGGAAGGCGTCGGAACACCTAGCTATATGCCACCAGAAGCATTGCAACATAAAGCATATGGAAAGCCGATGGACGTCTTTGCGTTTGCTATTACGATGTATGAGACGTTTGTCGAACACCCGGCGTATGTCGGAGATCGATTTGAAAAGGCGTGGAACATCCCACAATTTGTATCGGAAGGAAAACGACTTGAGAAACCGAACGGCATCCCAGAAGACTACTGGAAATTGGTGACAGACTGTTGGAAAGATAACCAAGACGAAAGACCTACTATTAAAGAAGTTTTGGTAAGAATTAATAACTTCGAGTTGAAATTTACAAGAAGTCCAGTGGGAGCAGGTATGAAAGAAGATAAACCAATACAGAAGGTCGAAGAGAAAAAAGAGGAAAAGAATGAAGAGGTGAAAGTTACTTTAGACGAAGTAAAAGTGGATAACAAAGAAGTAAAGATTAATGCAGAAGAAGTCACAGTCCAAAAAGAAGAACATCAGAATACAGAGGTTAAGGTCCATAATAAGATGGACTCAAAATCTTCTTCGTCAAAATCAAGCTCATTTAGCTCGTCGAGTTCCGAGTAACTATTTTGGGTTCAGGGTTTTATGGTTAAATAAATGATATCTTTTTATTATAATAAAATGTATATTTAAAATATTTTTAATATTCTCGATATCATTTTTATATATATATCACTTGTAATTAAGTTATTACAAAAAATACTGTGAAATAATGCATTTTAAATAAATCAAATCAAAAAATCTTTGTTAAGTAATATTGTTATACAGTCATGCGAAAAAGCTGTCGCGTTTGGAAAAACCTGTCTTGAAAAAATATTTTATAGTAAATTTATAATTACTTACTATACAGTATAGCTTCTAT